CTTTAAAAGAAATATTGAAATTACAAGACTAGAGAAATAAAGACTAAAATATTCCCTATATTAGAAAGGTTAAAGCATTTCTAAACCAAACCAGTCTAAATTTTTAAAATGACCATGTATAACTTTTATAAGTCAATAAAATTATTGTATAGGGCATCTGAAAATTATTTTTATTTCTACATTTAACATTTATGTAACATCATTTGCACTTTCCTTGAAGATACTAGTCATTTAAATATAGTATAAAATAAGTCATTCATTAATTATTTTGACCACAATGAGAAAAATAGCACATACTGAGTTCCAGAAATATTTCCTGAACGGGAGCTTCAGTGATTGAAAGCTAAATTTCCAGGCCTTAAGAAGTTTACTCTCTAGAACAAAACACAGGTTCAAACTAAATTTATATTACAGGCAAAAGTATCAGAGAAGAAAGATGAGAGTACTGGAGCAGGAATTGTGGGGATTTTTAAGACCTTGAAATTTTAATAGGTTTGTCAGGATAGGCCTCACTGAAAAATAATTTTTTTAAACAAATATTTGAAGCATCACGAGATGGTGTTTGCCTTTTAGGCAGTGGGAACTGGAGGGCAGATATAGAAGCAGACTTGATGTATCAAGGAACACCAAAGACACTGCTGATGATACTAGACAAGTGAAGGAGAAAGTTCTTATGTACATCCATAAAAAGTAGTAGTAGCCAGATCATTTCAGGTTTTAAGGACTGTGAGAACTTGAGATTTTATTTTTAGCAAAAGGAACCGTCTGAGAGTTTCAGGCAAGGAATGCCATGATCCTCTGTATCCTAAATTGGCCTGAGGAATTCAAAAATTTTAAACTAGAGACAGAAGTGAATTATTGCAAGAAGAAAGAGGCAGAGTATAATAAGGAAGGGTAGAATTGCTTTCCTACATTCAATAAATGTTTACTAACTACTGTTGCTTTTGGGCAAAATTTAAATAAGAATAATTAAAGTGGATTTCTGTTCTCTTCATAAGGAGATAAAATATGAGCAGAACCAACCATAACATAAAATAGAGAACAATGAAAGAAAAATAACTTTTTATCTTGGGTTACAGAAAGGCAGACTTTGGGAGAGTTATTAAAGTATTTGGCATTTTGCTGGGCACAAGAATGTAAGATTCTTTACAGTGTTTGTTCTGTCTCTGACAGAACACTAGCTTTAATAAATAGGGCTTGGCAAATAGCCAGAGATGAGCAGATATTTGTTACCTAATGATAGAATAAATGTGTGTATACAGATATACAGAGAAAAGTACCATTCAAGTAAATGGAACAACATAAGAAAATCATAAACATGCAGATTTACACTCCCCTGCCCCTGGGGTTTAGCTTGGCTAAAGCAAATGAAAATAGTGGAAGGTGAAATTGGAAACACAGACTAGATTAGGTCATAGAAGGCTTTGCTGGCACCATAGGAGAATTATCGTTATTTTCTGTAAGAGTTGGGGAGTTTCAAAAACTTTGAATAGTGATGAGTACAAATTTGTACTGGAAAAGCTAATATAAGTTTGCTGATTATAGATTGGTGAGTGGAATCTAGAGACCAGTTTGGATATTTTCCAAATCTAGAAAAAAGGGTACTGAGGATCTCTATCAAGTTATTGCAATTTGATTCCATTCACTGGATTGTATAAGTATTCGCAAGCCTAGCCATAGATTTGTATTTATTTGTACTATATTATTTTACTTGTCCCTCTCCTTTTCTTTTCGTACAATATAGCATATTTAGCACTGATGTTAGGCACTTCTAATTATCCCCAATGCCTTTTCTTCCCTTTACTACAATAATAAAACACTCCAAGTTTGAGCCAGACACAGAACTACTAGTTAGAGACTACATTCCCAGCTGTGCTGGGAACTCATTGTGGCCATTAAGTTTTGGCAATGGATTTAAGCAGAAGTAATAAGGGCAACTTCTGGGATATGCCCTCAGAAGCTGCTTGCTCTTCATTTCTTCTTGCCTCTTACAGGATACTGATTTTTCTCTCCCCCTGCCTGAAGTAGATATTGAAGATTACACTCTTCAGGAACTACATGGGATTCTTAGCCCCTTTCCTAGTAAGTTAGGTATGGGGCTTAGGAGTTTCCTCTAGAGTCGAGGGAAAATGAATGATGAAATCTTCAAGTTATATATCTTGTTTAATTCTTTATAGACAAATATTATAACATGAATTTCAATATTCTCTGATTTCAGGGTTTTCACGATTGCTTATTTCCATATAAAAGGCAACAAATATTTATAGAAATTATCTATATGACTAAAGAATATCTATAATCTGCTTACATTTATCATTATGATTGCTTAAAGATTTCTGCTTTCACAATCTATCTGAACAAATGTGTTGATAATTAAGTTTATTTATTTATATGAGTATAGTACTCTCAAAGAAATATCTTGACTCTGTATACACCTTAGGGTATATTTCTACATGTTTTCAGTGGAAGAGCTTTGTAATAATAGTTTATGTAATTAGCTAGGTTTGGAAAAAAGGAATAAAAGTGGGCCCTAATACTGGAAAAAATGGTTGGGAGAGTTGGGAAATGGAGGTAATTTTAAAAAGCTGCAAATTGATGTTATATATTCTGTTTAGAAATACACTTTCAGAAAGACAGTGATAGCTACACTTTACATAATTATGAAAGTCTACACTGCTGAAAAAAACAGTAAAATGTAAATGTTGTATATGAAAAATAAGCTTTTTATTTCCTGTACCATTTCAGTTATTTTTTATAAACAATATTGTTTTTCTTTCATAAAGACTTTCTTTTTGGTGTAGTGGATTTACTGTGGAGTGCTAAAGACAGGGAATTTGTTTTGCTCATCCCACATCCCTAGAACTATTCTTAGCAAATAGTGAGTACAAAAAAAAAAGAAGAATAAAGAGTTTTTGACAAAACGGATAAATAATATTTGCATCTAAGAATTACAATTATTGCTTAGTGAAGTGAAAAAGTAGATTGTCCTATTTTGAAGATTCCAGTAGAGAGACAAGTGTTGCCATTAAAAGATTTTGCATTAAAATTGGAAAGAGAAAGCAAAATTACCTTAAATTGTTTATAAAAGATTGCTTCATAATCAATATTTTAAGTCTTGTAAGCATATTTACGTAAGGCAGAATATTCAAATACCTGATTTTGAAGATCCATCACTTTGAGTAAGGCAATGGAAACATGATGTAAGAATATACAATCATAGATTTGGGGAAAAAAGAGAAAAATATGACTTTTAAAAAGTATTTGAGATGTCATATAAAAATTTGAAAACACCAAAATTATAATCATAAATATTATGTAGATAAAAAATTGGATTGATTAAACTGAATAATTATGTTATTCTATATTGCTGATAAATGAATTGTCTTGACTCCTAAAATAACTTTTTCACATAACTTTCATGAGGAAGACAGCAGTTACCATCAGCAAACATTTTCAGTCTATCTTTAAGTATTTTAACTACTGTAAATCAATGACACGTGTTGCAAAATATGTGCAGCTACATAGGAACCTGGACTAGGTAATCTGGTTCATTTACAAATTTTTAAGTGGCTTAACAAGACTATAATTAGGTTTGAAACACATAAATAAAACAAATAATATCGAACTGGAAAATAACACTATTAATTTAACATAATAAATTGCCATATAATAAGTTAAATCATCCCAGGGTGTAAATTATACAAATTTGTAAGCTGCATTTGTTATTTTATGTCTCATTTTCCCGACAGGTGCTAACTCAGTTTGGCATATCAAATTCAAAGCTATTTAACAAATAGGATGGCTTTTAAAAATTATCATGCATGTAATCATTTGTTATGCATTTTGAATCTTTTTTCTCCCAATGGTCTTGAGATATTTTATTTTTTCATTCAAATAATGAAATATGAATTGTTTTAATAGAGGTACTAGAGCTAAAGCTTCGATTGTTTGAAATGTATATTAAAAGTGTATTCAGAAATAATTATCACATTAAGTTGCCTTCAATATACTAACAGGCTAATATCTTTTTATAAGACTTTTTAGGGAAATTCTAAATTCCTCGTTTTTTTTTTTATCAGCTCATGTTAAATTTTGCAAGAATTTTCTAAGAACTCGCCTTCTATAAGACCTTTTGCCGAGTGGGGATAGTTTGGGCATCAATAAGGAAAGAAGATCCTAAGTGTAACCTAGAGTGGTCTAGAAACCATGGGTTATCAGGAAGATGATTATAAATGGGTAGAGTACATTTTTCTGTTGGGTCTCTTCTGCTAGTGGCCAAGAGACACGGCCATTTTGGGCTAATACTACCCAGGACATTGGTTTGGAATCCATCCTAGAGCCAGCTAACTCTACAATTTCGTGTACCCTGATTTGGACCGAGTGCTTTCAATTGAAGAAGATCACTTACGACTGAATTTCTCATCATGGCTTTGACTGTGAAGCCCTCAGAAACCAAGGAGTGAGGCTGGTGCACCGGGAGCGGCTGTTGTGTCAGCAGCTTGGTCCTCTTCGGCATCTTGTCTGGGCATTTGTTTAAGCTGAGGGTCTCTTTTTCTGCCACCATCTTCCTAGAAAATGCCTTGTTCTCATAAAAAGTGTAGTAAAAGAATTCAGTGGGCTTTTCGGATGTGAGCAAGAGGTCGGGAAAAAATGTAAAAAGGTGCCTTACTGGTAGAAATTCAACCCCTCGTAGTGCCCAGGTAGATCCAGATGTTTGGCAGCTCCTAGGTGAAGGGAGTTAGGGAGGGGAGGGGCGGTAGGAGGGCCCGATAGTCTGTAAAGCTGCTACAAGCTCCCAAAGGTAAACCTCCCGGTTGCTAAGCGACTTGTCAACACTACGGGCCAGTAGCACCGCCCGCCCGTGACGTATGTTTCCTGGATTTTAATCCGGAAAGGCCGGTATGCGGCCCTTGGCGGGAGGAGAAACTACTGACCAAAACTACGACTCCCAACAGATCACCTGGTGCTGGCCGTTTGCGCGTGCGCGTTACGTCTCTGGCGTGAGGGAGGGGAGGCCTAGATGATTTAACCCGCGAGAGCCCCTGGTGGGAAGCCCTGGCTGGCGCCGGTGCGCGCGTAGTCCCCTGCTTGCCCAGCAGCTGCCACTTCCCCAGTGACCATGATAGGTACGTGGGTGCCTGCCAGGTACAGCCTCTGCGCCGCCCCGGGCCCAGGTATGGCGCACAAGTGGGACCTACGAGTACCGGCCAGTGCGGTCTGTCAGTGACAGGGTGAAAGTGACCGCGCCGTTCTGCGCCCTGCTCCTCGCTTCCACGGTGGACACCGGCCCAGCGTCGCCGGCCTCGTGGGTGTTCAGGAGCCCAACTGTGTGTTTTCAGTCCCCACCCGTAGCATAACAGGTCTCCCACTGAAGACACTGGGGTGTCCCGTTCCCCCACCCCCATCCCGCCTCGCCAGTCCCTCGGTCTGGCGCACCATCAGTCAGAACAGTAGAACGGTGTGCGGCACCTCTAAGGTCTGTTTCTCGCTCAGACTTCCTCTCTCAACTTCTTGAAGGGGACGGGTAGGCTGTCCTGATTCATTTTCTGTAGGACTCTTTAAGGAGGCTCTGGCGAAGCATTACCCTTTGGTGGAAAGTACCTGATGAGTATTGGGGTGGAAGAAATTCCTCCAGATTTTAATTTCTAGTTCCTTCGGATCTCTACTTTTAAATCCCACAATGAAGATCTGAGATGAAATAATAATAAATAATAGCAATGATTAAATCTCTTGGCTTTTATACCTATATGCAGTTTTGTGAATAAAACTTTGTAAGTGGCTATTAGAGTTGCTTGCTATAAAAACTGAAGACTAACGAAGGGCCTCTCTTTCAGGGTTATTACAAAAAGTTACTTTAGGGGTTGTCCTTAAATTTAGAGGGAAAGAACAGTATGTTTACAAAACATTACTGTTTTGAAGCTTCATTATTGCGGGGATTTGCTCCAGTTTATATGTGGCAGATTTGGTGAACTTGTTTGGAAATTATTACTTGTGTCACTTGTAAAACACTTTGGATTGCAACAAGCACATTTGAAGTCATATGTGGTCTGACCAGATGAAAGATGGGATGGGAAGCAGATTTATAAAATACGTGTTTTATGCTCTGAAAACACTTCAGTCTGTTTTATTTATGAAGCTAATAGAAAATTCTTCACATATAAATCATGCCAATTAACTAACATTGTCTTTGCAACAATGATAAAAGCTAGGGATGTTATCCAACTTTTTTTGCCTTTCTGATTTTTTGGCGAATGACTTGAAAGTTATCGAATTAAGAAAAAATATAAATATTTATGAATCTTATTGAACCTTTTAGGTGACATTTACATAAAATTCACCTGTAAATACAAATGTGGACTGAATCAGTGAACCAAATAGAGAATTTTCAGTCAATGTTCTAATATATAGGAAAATAATAGTCTGTACCTTAGTTTAATTACAATTATGTTTTATTTTAATTCAACTTAATAAAGCACAGGGATATCTTTAAGAGAAACAAATTATAAAGATATATAAAGACATGAATTTAAGATACAGAAATTATCACTTTGTACAAGTTATTATGTAATAAATAATAACATTATTGTGATGAAATATATTTAGGTGGTTTTATTTGGAATTCTGCTTCTAAGAAGGAAGAAGTATGATATTTGGGATCTGATGATGAGACAAATCAATTGCTGGCAATAGTGTGGAGTAAAGTGAATTTTAAAAATGATTCTCTTGTTCAAGCTGTTATCTTTCATATTGCAGATAAGCATAGCATATACAGTATAAATAACAAAATCCCCATGAACAGTACTTTCTTTATAAAAACCCTGTGAACAATGTATAGTAGGTTATCTCATTCAACAACTGTAGTTTCCTTGTCTAATCCTGTTATGGGCCACATGTCAGTACAAATCTGAATTGCCAGATTTGGACTTAGGTGGGTTGAACAGTGCTCAGAGTAGGTAGGTGAAAGTGAAAACAGTTGAAAGGATGCCCTAGAGTAATGGGTTTTATGTTTTTGTGACAACATTTTGGAGCTGGAAAGGAAAGACATTATAGTTTTACAACAGTGATCAGTTAGAAATCAAACTACACAGGCATGTCTATGTAGGGGTTGCTTTTTCTGCTAAGTTTAGGAAGGAGTGCTGTAGAGGATCTGGTCTTTTGCATGCTCTCCCTAAATGCTATACCTTCCTTAATGCAAATCATAGACTTTATTTAAATCCTGGCTTTTGAAGAAAAAAAAAAAAGGGTTGGTTTCTTGGCAGAATAGAAGTAAAGGGAAGTGACTGTTACCTCACTATAAATAAAATTACCTTCCATTTACTTTCTCAGAACTGAGGATTTCCTTCTTGGATTGAAACTCTTTCAAAAGTACTTACATTTCCCACTTGGATTATGATTGATATGTTAAATGCCCTGACCCAGGCAGATAAGAAACATAATTTAAGTCAGTGAAAAATTGTGCCTTTGTGCGAGATATGGAGGACTTGAAGATAATATGAAGTAGAACAGAAAAACTTAAGAAAATTCAACTTAGAAAAATGTAACTTTAGCACCTCTATTAAAAGTATATTTCACCTTTTAAAAAAGGTATAACTCTTGTGTTTTAAATTGAATTTCAGTGATGATATTTTTGTAATGTTCTATATGCCCTGTAGATTTACTCATTTAGGCAGTATCAGCAATAAAGCCCATGGATATGTGTACAATAATGTTGCAGTAATGAAATTCAAATTCAGTGTCATACTTTTAAGAGATTTTTTGATTGAGTTAAAAACAATCACTAGAACGTATTTTATACCTTGTTTAACTTAGTATATTTTGGAGAACTTACATATCTGCAGATCTGTAACATGGTAATTTCTGCCAGGTCTTCTATTTTATAGTATATATTAACTATGCAGATATTCCCCAGTAAATGAACATTTAGTGTGCTTAGTGTTTTTCAGTGTACAAGCTGCACAGCTATTGTGGGAAGCCTTGCCCTTCCCGACAGTGTTGATGAAGGGCCATTTTACTCTGGTCAGCAAATGTTTTTATTATTGCTTTCTTGCTAGATGTACAGCAGTATATTTTAATATTAAAATGAATTTATGATGATAAAAACTTCTTGCCTCTCCTTTATTGTACTTTAGATTCAGAAATTACTTCTAAGGATTGAGTGCCTACTGTGTGCTCAAAGTGCCAGGGATATGAGTGAGGAAAACAGGAGCCATCCTGAATGTACAGACTCACTTTACTATTGGCCCTCACATCTACATATATGGATTTAAGGCTTGCACATTTTGAAAACTTGTATTCAGTGCATTTTTAAATCTTTGAATTTATATTTCTATTTGAACATACTGTGTATTGCTACTTGCCCTGCTAACTAGATGAAAGCAACTTTAGGTGCCAAAAGGCTTCTGTTTATGGTAAGGTAAAATTATATTACAAAATAGGTTCTACTAAACTTTTGTATAGCGGATTTTATGTAGTGATTATATCCAGTTCTTTTTGGGTCCAAAGGCTCTGAAATGACCTTATAGCCTTTATAATTTTGGCCCTATTTCTGAGGATTTTATTGAAACCTGCATTTTTGTTTGAAGCGGAATAGTTTCTTTGCTTGAAAATGATATAGTGAAAGCACTTTGTGTTAAGATATGCAAATTCATTCCTACCTGCAAAGCTTCTTTGAAAAATACAAAAAGAAAAAAGAAAGAAAAAGTTATCCTTCCTTCGAAATGCTTCATATTCATGAAAACAGTTTCAATGCAAAATACTTTATTCTGTTAACTTTCAGTTCTTTGATCAATGAAAATTGTTTCTTACCTGCTGTTTCTTCTCCCTTTAATTGTAGCCCAGTGCTTATTCAATGCTTCTGTTTTAATTTGCATTTAATGAGCTCATTTAAAATGTTTCTTTGTAGTAAACTAAATGGTTTCTTTCTTAAGTTTTGTTATATTAAAGAAAGAGACTTACCTTGACAGTTGGCTGATTTGTGTTGCCGCTCACCCCCAAACCTTGTTTACTTCATCCTGTATGAGAGACTATTGGTTAAAGGGTATTGCAGTAATAGGACTGTTTTCCTTAGTACTGTGTTTCCTAATTATCTAAGACTTCTACCTGGTTAATGCATATATCTGTTTTTCATTAAATACAAAGATTTCTCGTTGGATTAATGGGTATTTCAATTACAATAATAATTCCATTCTCAGGTGGTGCTTTATAGGTGGTGCTGGGCAGAGGTGAGTCCAGTTAGTAGTGTATGTGTTTATATTGCCTTTGGGGAAGGGACACAGAAATCTAAAACACAATTTTCCCCTATGACTTTGTAATTCAAGTGGGCTGATAAGATATGTATTTGTGGTACAGATTCACTCTCTCTCTCTTACAGAAGCAGAGTACAGTAATTAGAAAGGTATATGTTTGTAGTAATACTTATACAATACAACACACATGATTCTTCATATCCTTCTTTTGTTGATGTAGTTTAGATTTGATGCTCTTCCTCTATATTGTACACCTGGAAAGTTCTGTTCATCCCTTCAAGGCCTGTGTCAAATGAAACCAACTTTATTTGTAGTCTTTCTTAAGATCTCCACTTGTATGTCAGTGCTCTTCCATTTCTCATTTTGAATCTATTAACTCCTATTAGAGTAACCAAGATTTCAGCAAGTTTTATTTGTTAGGTCCTTGCTCATTATTTAGATAAGTGATGGCAAACCTTTTAGAGACAAGGGCCCAAACTAAACCCCAAACCCACTTATCATATCAATAAGGCATTAGATTTGGTGATGGGGAGGAGCCCTCAAACCACTCTATATAGAAGAGCCCTGTGAACTGATGTATTTTAGAAAGGTATCTGTGGCAGTGAAAGAAATTTATAGCATAGTGCCCCTAGAGCCAAGAAGTCCAGGATAAGTTCTAATAGCTTCTTTTAGAAGACAGTCTTTCTGACGAATGAATGGGTGGATATGGAGTAGGGGGTGGCTTTTCTCAGGGTGGTAACATTGATTTAATGTGAAGTTAAATCATCACTTTTCAAGGGCCATATTTCTAAAAAGTTCTTTTGCAGAGTGTATTAATATCTCTCATTGATAGAATTTTTTCCCCTGTTACCCAAGCTTTAAATGTTGTTGTTGTTGTTGTTACAGAAATAATGTTTTGTGATATGTGGCCAATTATGATTGTAGTTCTT